TCTACCATTACTGGTAGATACATATCATATGTAGCAGCTGCTAAGTAATTCGATGAATAATGTCATTTTTGTTTACGTGATTTTTTTCCTCAAAATTTTATTCTTTCACATCACTTCATATTTCATTTGAAAGGGATTTATCTACTCTGCAAAAATTGTGTTGCTTCCACACACAGTCGTTGGAAATTTTTTGAATTTTAGGCCTGATGTGAGTAGGCCACTCGACGAAAATCAAACACACCGGCAACTAACTTCAACTATATTTTCCTCAGAAGAAATCATTAGTAATAAAGTCTGTGCTCGACCACGACATCTAAATATTCCGCCGTTTAGTAATCAAAACGCCGTATCATTTTTCTTTTCGCATTTGATTTTTCTGGTTGACCAGTATGTTATGATGGTTTTTTGAATCCAAAATTCTCCTTCAAAATTCCATGTCTCTCTTCTCCATCCATTCATCATCCTATATCACTCGATAGCTTTTTTCCTCTTGGTTCAGTGGAATGTTTCGCTGATTTCCTTCACAAATTGAATGGAATCATGGGTTCATGTAGTTCAGTGTCCCTTTGACGAAAATGACGACATTTCTTCATAATTTACACTCACTGAAAAGATGGTTAAACCTGTCGGTGACGCAACTCGTGTTTAGCTGCGACTTTCTCTAAGTACCTCCGGCTTTTCAACCTCTCGGCAGGACGTTTTAGATTAGATTCGGCGAGACCGCGATTGAAGTAACACCCTATGATCAAATTTTGGAGTTACAGCGGTCGTTAATGGAGCTGTGGATGCCAAGTTGACTAGAAATGAAATGAAAACTGTCGATGATGCTCCGCTTTCCCGCGCGTATTTGGATGACCGCCAAGTCGTAATCCACGCTACGTGTGGGTTGTGCGAGAGGTATCTCGTCCATAAGCCAGGATTATTCGCAGTAAGTTCTTTTTGTAAGGCCCTAGCTCCATTGCCGCGCCCCTTTCGAGACGTGACAACGGCATGTTTAAGATACTCGTGGGCTACTCTATTCCACCTACAGAATAGATTCTCCGGAACGTCTTTTGCTGGGGTCATCATCTTGTGCTGGGAAACCCGATTTTGAAAAAGAACAACACAGCTTGTTGAGCAACCCAGTAGCGCGATGCTTAGAAGAGGTCATTTCTAAACACAGAGTACATCATTGGTAGATTTCTTCAGATGGGAAATAGAATTCGAGTGAGTCGCCAATTTGGCTAATTCTCGAGGACGTGACCAATCCACAGGCTTGAAAGTTAAAACGTTCGCAAATAATGTGGAATCGAAACATGAAGTTTTTTCGAGCATATGAATGCCTTCAGAGGATATATTACATTGTAAAAAGGATGGAAAAGGGAGAGGAGGAAAAACCGCTTGAAGAAAAACCACATTATTATCGGTCAACCTTACATAGTGAGT